AGTTGAATGAAGGGTGCGCTGCATCCTGCTAAGGGTGTTCGGCATCTTGTGCTTACTTCCTTCCATACGGATGACAGCTGCGTATGACTTGACTCATTCTCTGGTGCTTTCCCATCCAGAGACAGTTGTAAGCACTGTGTAACTGCCTCGAGGGTGCTTGACCATTTCAACACAACGTGGTGCGATCATCCCCCTTGCGCGGAGTGAGGCTTCTCCACCCCGCACAACATCTACTTACTTGACCACCATAATGGTTACCGCCAAAAAAAAAGGGAAGCAGAGGTACAAAAAAAAAACAGTAAAAACCTGGTTGCCGAGTTCACGAACTGAATTGGCTTGTACAACGTTGCCAAGGGAGGAAAACCCAACCCCAATGGCAAACACCGGGGGGGGGCGGCTTCTATTACAACGTCGTTGCCAAGCGACGGAAACCTTACCCCGATGGCAAACACCGGGGAAGGGGGATGGGCGGGGGGGCCACAACTCGAAGAGAAATTAGGAGATGCCGCGGTAGGAATGATCGTTTACGAAGGAAAACGCCGATACAGATATTGTGGATGATTAAGGTTGCATACGAGAAGATATGGCTCAGCTGCGCACGTGGCAAGGTCGGTACAGCCCGAGTGGCGCTACTTCCAGCTTGCCCGGGTTGTCGGTGTCGAGAATAATGTTCACGCAATGGCAGGAATGAAGGATGAAGAACGTGCAAGAAGAAGCTGATATGGTCATGTGCAGACGACGCACAAGCAGAATTGGAATGATACTGGAAAGACAAATGACACCCAAATGAGGATCGCGCAAGAATGAAGATGTTGAGCCTCGGAAAAGAACGTGAATTCATGACAAAACCCCAAATAAACATGAAAGCAAGCGATTCCGCACGAAGCGAGCCTTCCGAACGCGCGACGGGTCCAAATTACACTTAAAATGGGATACCGAAAGGTTACTCTCAACGATGGTGTCCGAGGACGAAGGCCAAGCAGCACGCGCGCGTGAGAATGCGAGGAGGAACCGAACATTCCGAAGGGCAAATGGTCCAACCTACACTGAAAATGGCGTACGGAAAAAGATTGCTCGCAAAGGCGATGTCCGAGGACTAAGGCGAAGCAGCACGCGCGTGACAAATGGCGTGGCTGTCGCTGAAGAAACCATAGGAAATAGAATAGATTAACATGGCGTGGCTGTTGCCGACGAGACGATAAAAAGGTAGGCAATATCAAGATGTAGAAAGCCCCCGTTACCACACCTACGGAAGGGAAGAAGGGTAGAAGCTGGTGATACAGAGACGGAATCGTAAAATAACCTCCCTATCCTGTTCGAAAATATTAGGTCTACGGGAGCTATACAACATATTAACTTGTCGTAATACGCTTACGATAACGTCCTTGGTCAGACTTCCATCCAAAACGTGTTGTCTTTTCCAAAACTTCACTCTTTTTTTTTACACCTTTCCCCTCGTTTTGGCCCCTCAAAATTTCTCATGATCGTAACTTTCACGGTTTTCATCGGTTGGAACTGATAACAACATGAAAAAAAGCAAGAAGCGTGTATCTCTGGGTAGCTTACATTACCAACATTGCATTACAAAAAAAAAAACGAAGAAAGGGTGGTTCTTGATCGCGCAGGATGGAAAGCAGGACGCCCCTGTATCGGCACTGACCGTTTCACGTGGAAATCAATACAGGCGATGGTTTTCCCTCTGGCATGGATTACTTTACTTTTTGTTCACACCCTTCTTCCCCTCGATCCTTGACTAGCTTTTGCGTAAGACATGGGTTGTAGCAAAGGGGAGGGTCTTCCTGGCAAGCAGGGCTAGACTCACCCTCAAGGGATGACCAAAACCTTCTTGCTGCTGCGCATCCGCCGCGAGGCGTGCGTGTGGTGGTGGAGTTGGGTCGGCACTGATGGGGTCAGGCGGGAAAATGTAGATGCGCGGGCCTCTGGCCGTCGGCGTAGGCAGTGATGTCCATCTCATTTTTGTGCGCGGAGGCAGACACCATCAGGAAGGTGGACGGGCACTTCACGGCCCAAGGTTTGCTAGAGGGAGCTGTATTGCCTCAGTAACCTGGCTTCGCCATCAAAGGAGGAGGGAGCAGGTGGCGACGAGCTGAACTAGGCTGGTTGACCATTCGGCGCGAGAATTTTTATTTTTTTCAGACCAAGAACCTTGAGTGCAATGAGGGAGAAAGCGAGGAACCGACTGGGAAGGACAGCAATGAGAGCGTGTACGGACGGAGCAGGTCGAGTGGCGTTTTGCTCGGGCTGACTACAGCGGCGCCGGATGGAGCAATGGCACCGGAGCATGCGGGCGACATCGACCCGTGGCGCACGGACAAACATTTCTATCTGAGTTGTCAATTCTTTCCGTTTTTTCTCTGACTTTCCATGTTGGTTTTGTGTGATGACATCGTCAACGGTTTTGTAGAGAGACGCGTCAGAGATGGCGTGGCTAACCCGGGTGCATTGGTTTTGTGCCTGATCGTGGAAGACCCCTTCAATGTGGAACGATTCTTAGCTAGTGTCGATATTTTTCACTGCAGTGCCTACACAGACGATCGGGAGAGATTCGGGTGATTGTCAATTGCTGCTATGGTGGCTTTGGTTGGTTGTTCTTTTTCACTGTACGGCCGCAGACACATTCTGACAGCACTTCAGACAGCAGCTTTGTGCCCCGCCAGCTGCTCGTTCCATGCCTACCATGGTGTTTTTGTACAGACAGCACTTCAGACAGCATTATGCTGTAGTCGGCAATCTTCCGTTTTGGTATAGAGTGGGACAGGGACGGGGTGATGCTACTGTAGTCGAACGGTGGGACGGACGTGCAGTTCAGTTTTTGGGCACGCATACGGTGCTGCAGGGATTTTTAGGTGTCCCTCTTCGGGCTCTTAGATACCTTTTTCTTGCTACGTGTGCGTGTTCTTTAGATCCTCAGATGGCTCTAGCACTTTCATTACCACGGGCTGAGAGTCTTTGCTATATTTTGGGCTTTAACAACTGACAAAGTTTTATGTGAAAACAACAACAACAATGGCCCTTCGGCCTTTTCCGCGTGTGATGGAGCAACAAGGTGTCAGAGGAGCAATTTTAGCATGTAAACTTGAAAGCGAGCACCCATGTTCGATAGTTCCAACAGAGCTTGTATTTCCGGACAGAGGGAAGTACTATAGTGTACCAATAGGAAGGAGTTGTGAGGACGGACACGGACATGAAGCAGAGGGTGGACACGCACGCGCAAGGTAGAAAAACAGACGAGAAGAGGGAGATGAATGTGCGTAAGCGCGGGTCGTCTTCGTGCTGTTGGTCGTGTTGTTGATATTGGTAGACGTGAATAACAAAATGAAAAAAGCGCAGTGGATATGGCTATTCATAGAGAAAGTAACCCGTTTAAACGAGCAGTGACGATTTGCAGTCGACCCCGCTTCAAGGAAGCGAATGGTTTTTCCTCACAAAACGCGTCCTTGAAGCGAGGTTGTATCCTCAAAATTCAGGGGATGATAGCTCCCCATCCCCGGGGCCAATGGAGGCATGCTGTACCTCGAACTATGCGACCTTAGCTAAGGAAGGGGGTGGTACGAAAAGTCAGCATCGCCGAGACAACTGGCAACCGTGTGTTGACGTCGAACATATTTACAATACTTGAAATGAGATGTACAGCAGTAGGGGACGTGTTGAAAACAACTACAGTACACCAGTTTGTACTTGGCCAACTAATGGACTGCATAGCCGGCAGCGAAAGAAGGAGGAAAATCCAAGCAGAAATACATCTATCTCATTCTTGTGAAGCATGATAAGAACGAGCGTATTTCAGCGTCGCACCGAGTAACATGAATACATATCACTGTCCCGGCGGAGATAGGGGTTAGTACCGATTTGAACACCCGGCAACATAACTTTTGCTTCAGACCGAAATGCCCGAAACGCTTTTTTTTGCTGCGCAGAACACTTTTCAGCACAGACGCCAGAAAACGCACTATTCAAAAAATCAGACCACACACCTCTGTTCACGTGCCGCCAAGTCGAGCCAAACTGAGCTCTTTGGCGGGAATCGCCGGTTGGAGGACTTATCAGCGGCCCCACCAACATGTCTGCTGCGGAAAGCGCTGCGAGCAGACCAAAACGCAAGAATTTGACAACTTCGGAGAAAAAGGCATGGTTGCCGAGCTGCTCAAGGGCAGCAACAACGGGGTTTTGAGCCATGGTGACGTGAAGAGGGTGGCGGCGATCCACAAACAGACACCCAAGACGGTGAGCAAGTACTGGAAGCTGTACAACCAGAAGAACGAAGCCGGGGAAGAACATCCCGACCTTCACGGCCAGAAGGGGCTGGACATCGCCATTCTGAAAGAGGCGTTGCAAGACATCAACCTGAACAACCGCACCCTGATAAGATCGATTGCAGCCGCTTTGGGCATTCCTTAGTCAACTCTGTTCGACAACCTCAAGAATCTAGGCCTGCGATCGTGCTCAAGGTTCCCCAAGCCGCTTCATTCCGATAATGGGAAGGCGCAGGGGTTGTCATGGGCGTTGAGATGGGTTCGGCCCAGCGCCGGCGATGCACACAAGTTCCACCACTTCTTCGACTTCCTTCACTTGGACGAGAAATGGTTCTACATCTGCAAGCAGGGTCAGCGATACTACTTCTACGAGGGCGAGCACCTCCCCATCCGGAAGGTACAGCACAAGAGCCACGTGATCAAGGTCATGTTCCTCGCAGCAGTAGCGCGGCCGCGCTACGACTCTAGCCGCAGCCGTCAGTTCGACGGCAAAATCGGCATCTACCCCTTCACGGTGCAGCGTGCGGCGCAGCGCAACGGCAGGAACATGGCAGCGGGGACGATGGTGACGCACAGTGTGGAGGTCAACCGCACACTGTACAAGAAGCTGAATAACAACGTTTTCCCGGACATAAGGGCTAAGTTCCCGTCGTCGCCCATCATCTTCGCGCAGCAGGAAAACGCTCCGGGCCACCGTGCAATGGAAGACCCTGACGTGGTGGCGGCGGCCGGGCAGGGAGCAGGCAGGATAGAGCTCGTCAACCAGCCTCCCAACAGCCCGGACTGCAACATCCTCGACCTGGGGTTCTTCAACTCCATCCAGTCTCTACAAGACCGCACCACCCCCACCACGGTGGAGGAGCTTGTGGCGGAAGTGGAGAGAGCCTTGTGGGCGCAGAAGCCGGAAACCCTCGGCCGTATCTGGCCAACGAGGCCCTGATAGCGGAACTACCGTGCAGCCAGAAGGCTTGGGACAAATCGCTGGCTGCCCCCGCTGAGGGAGGGGACGCAAGGGGCGGGAGCGCTTGAGGGGGGTGTTGAGTTAGTGCTTAGCTGCACCACTGCTGTAGCACTGCTATGCTCTCCTTGTTTTTCCACTGCTGTCCCAGGTACCAGTGGCACCTTTTTCCCCACTGCTCGTACCACAAGATTTGTGTTTTTACCACTGCTGCTGCGGGCGGTTGGGGTAGCGGGCGGTAGGGGGCATAAATGGCTTCAATGATGGTGCAGGTATAGCGCGCCATGACGGGCCCTGACCGGCCGAGTGTGTGGTACTGCTGTTGCTGCGGTGCTGGCAGTCGTCGATACCATACAGCAGTAATACATGGTCACTGTTTCGGCCACCTAGTCGATGCAACGGTGGTATCAGCCACCTGTTTGTGGTGGAATGGGAAAATATATCAAGAAATGTTCGGGGCGTCACCGCGTCTTTGTTGTAACCCGGGGATGATCAACCAGCATCCCCGGTCCAAATCAAACCCGTTTTTTCTTTCATGCGGAAAGCACCGTCCACTGCTGTGGTTGTGGATGCTGGAGAGCTTTCGGTCATGAAACAACCCTGTCAATTTCACAATATTCCAAATGAGAGCTATATTGCCGGATATCTCTGATATCCCGGGGATGACATTCCAGCATCCGCGGTTAGCCCATGACATTTTTTTTGGGGGGGGGGGCTTCGTACGTCATGCAATGACCGTGGACGGCGATAGAGCGATTTCGATCACCAAAATAGCCCTCTGCGCTTCATTAGTCCAAACCGGAACTACATTGCCGCATGTCCAAATCGGTACTTTATCCCTGGACAGACTGGACCGCTGCCAGACGGCGGCGCCGAACGAAGGAGTTCTTCCCCGGGTTGGCGAGCCTGACGAGCATGGCATGCGGAAGGCGGACTTCCCAGCACTAGAGCCTCGGGGAAATTAGTTTCTTGGCGACGATCAGGTTTCGAACCCCGTACTGCAGGAGAAATGCACTTAACGCCATGTGTACAATCTCCTGCGCGATGCGCAACCTTCTCCTCCGGTTCAACGGTTGGGCATCGGCCAGCTTCTCAGCGTTTGAGCAACGCAGGACAAGAAGAAGGCTACACCGCCGTGGCCTTCGTGCTGCTTGCTCGGGCCCGTTTGCGGAACCTGCGCCGCCAAAGCCACCACTCCATGGACCTCTTCGAGGTAATGGCTGTTATGAACGTGCGCCTCACCAAGCTCGTGGCTTTCATTAGCGAAGGACAAGATAAGGAGGTCCCGCCAACAGTACTTGTCGAGAAAGAGCAGGTGGCCCCGGGCTCGGTGCTGCCGACGTTATTGGCGCAGAGTGTGTTCTCCACACGCGTTCTCGCGGTGGCGACTGGGTCCACCACCGGCAAGGCTCCGGAAGTCCCTGCCTTCGCTCAGCATCTTTGTTGTCTTTAGCATAATTCTTAAGACTTGTGGTTGTTCGTTGCTCCGCACGTCAGGTGGGTTTATTTTCGCGTTCCTCATTGTTCTCTCTCCTTATCTTATTCTTTTCACCCGTTCCTTCCGTCTTCTTTCTCTGCGTCGCCGGTTGATTTGATTTTTTTCTTGCGGCCAAATCTACCTTGCTTCGTGTTTTGTTGTTATTCAATTCGGAGCAGTGCACATAGGTAGATCATTGCTGACATATTGAAAACATTTATGTGTTGCTGCGATTTGCTAGAGCGGGGAACAAGAACATATTTTCTCCCATCTTGGTAAGGATATCGGCATGCTTTGTGCCCACGGAAAAAACTACCTCACCTCTCCCATTCAGCGCATGCACATCCTTGCATATAAATAGGCTGCAGTGCTCGAAGCTCTTGAGTTGATGCCACGTCAACACGACTACCCAACAATGATTCTTTTTCTGATACTTGCCGAGAGTATCCTGCATTCAAGCATGCCCATTGCGGTAACCCAACTATTTTGAGAACTTTCTCGACCACGTGGTCTACTTTCTGTTCCCATCTTCGTGACCCCTGAAAAATGGATCAGGCCGAAGAGGAGTTCACGAATGGACTTCAACCCGCCAACGAGTGCACAAGGAAGAGGGCAGGTACGAGGATGTGGACACTTGCATGGGTTGGGTGTTGAGGCTAGTCGTGTTGTTGGTCCAATAATCTAAGGACCACCAATTTACCAGGCTGTTCTCGTTTTTCAATATTGTGTCAATGTTCGTGCCGGTATCAGGCCGGTATGGTATCTGTCGTCCGGGACCTCCAGGCCAGCAAAAATGATCAAAAACCTTGGTCAAAACGTTTTCATGAGCCAACACATGGCATGCCGGCATTTTCTACGCCATCTCTGTTCGTCCTCACAGAACTGGCTGAGCGTTCACGAGCATGTTTCGGGTCGGCGGTGCGGCGTACGAAAGCCCTTCAGATTCAGGTGGCTCAACATCAACCGGGGAAAACCGCTGACACCAATGACATCGTGGACGAGTATCGCCTTCCATTCGGCACCCAACCTCTGCAGGAGGACCCCACGGCGACCGTGCGCAGAACGCACGCCCTGGGGAGCAATCCCGGACCTTACTCCGGGCTAGACACCCCGCACGACTCCAACCACGGGGATGACTGCCGCCGAAAGTACGTTAGGATAGACTCATGCGCCCAGCTTTCGGGGGTCAACCTCAACGCGCACAAGCAGAACCATGCGAAGAAGAAAAAGTTTGTACACATGCTGAATGACATGAAATTTGACCGCTTTGCGTTCATGGTTACTCTGATCAACGAGACCGAGAATGAGGCAATACACCGCAAGTCGGTGGCAAACATGGTCAAGCTTGTTCGAGGCCATGGCTCGGAACAGGTAAAGATTTTCCAGGCTCAGGTTTGGTTCTACGGCAGATGCTTCTGCCAGAAGTCTCTTATGCGATCATTTCGACCAGTTCGACAGGATTCGGCCGACCTTTGTTGAGTCAAAGCCGTACTTTTGGGGGGGGGCTCGGATGTTGTTGGACGATGTCTCAGATGCTTGTGGTACGGTGTCCGCTTGAGCTGAACTGCTTGCGCCACTAGGTCATTTCGCCCTATTGGCAGCGGTGGGTAGAGTTCATGCTTTTTTTTTTTCTCATTCGGTTGATGGAATGTCGAGGCTGGTTGTAGGAATATATAGCTGCGCGGTGTGAGGGATCGATGCATTTGGTTATTCTTTGGGGAAACTCATTGGTTTCGCTACACGATAGGGTTACTTCAAGAACTATTTCCGAGCCAACCGACGTTCCGTTTGTCCGCCTCACAGCACTTTTAGTACAAAGACTGCTCGTTGTTTCTTGTTGCGTTTCCAAAAGCGCATATATCTTTTGCCTTCGAGCCTCGGCGTGAAAGTTGTGTACCCAAGGGCAACCAGACCTGTTTCCAAATATGGAAGTAACTAATTGTCGAAGAACTGCTTTTGATCCTTCATCAAAAACAAGGTTGGTTGGTAGACCGACCTACCATTGCGTTCAGCTCATTGCGCCACAAATTATTCGGTGTTCTGTCCAAGAAAGGTGTCTAGTACCCACTTGCCCACATGGCGATAATTTTCAGGTTGCGTTTCGGTTTTCAATACTATTTCGTCCTGGACTCGTGGTACGCACATGCCGTTTCGAGGTACCGATATGGTCGGAGAGATGGCACAAGGTGCGATCGATTCTTTAAAGGTTCTTTCCTTGGGATTTTCATCGCGCCCCGGTGCCATGTCTCCGACCCCGCATTAGATCTTTTGAATTATCTTTCAAGGCACCCAGGTGCGATCTCTCCGACCGATGCGATCCCCGATGAAATACACACATGTGTTGCATGAAAGGAAGCACACCGGTAACGGCAGCGTAGGCTGGTACGTAACAGCTTACCATGCAGCGAGTGGTCTCGTGTTTGATGCGAGTTTGACTGTGGCGTGACGACAACAAACGATCTCGTTTCCATCTGAGGTACTGGTACATGCGGTATCAGTTGTCTCCAGCTTTAGTTTCGGTGTTCCTCCACAGGTACCGGTACGCGCGAAGCAACATTAGTTTCGTGTTGTAAGGTGGGGTAGGATGCGCCTTGTATTTGGTTGAGAGTATAGGGTTGGCGACTTCTGTACCAATTCACCTATGAAATCAACTGGCATCCCGTGTGAACCGCGCCATGCATACGTACATGCAGGAGGGGTGCTCCGCCGACACCGTCCCCACATGTATGAGGTACACAAATGTACCTGATTCCAGCAGCTGAAGTGGAGCTTGGATTTGGGGGTCGGTGTGCGATCTCATTGACCCCGGTGCGTAAAAGAATGTAAATCGTGCCGTTCTTGTATTTTCTAGCAACCCCGTGCCATGTCCCAGACCGGTGCCACCTCGCAGACCGGAACTATCTCTCCGTCTATTACGGTAAATAATAACGCAATGTTGGTTTTTTTGTCCGTTCACCCCTTCCAAACCAAAGCTTGACAAGTACGCCATCGGCAAGACTATTTCGGCTCGTCTTTCCCCTCCTGCAACTCCCTCTTGACTTCCCCTCCAAGCAACTTGAAGTAGAGTCTACAGGTAAGTTGGTTGCTACGTGGCGACGACCCATTCAAACCTGGTTCAAAATATATCTCCTCAATACACCTTGCGCAAATGCTTTGGGGTTTTCTCGATAGTTCGACAGGGGAAGCTGTTGAATCTAGTACCTTGTCATTTGCAACCTACATAGTGGGCAGCAGATTATATGCGATGTGTGCCTGTAAATCCAGCAGTAGCCTACCCGCCTGAACTGTACCATAGGCGACACAATATACCATACCCCCTGGACGGATCTTCAAACATCGATGACTCCACGACCAAGAATGCGTGCATGAAATGATTGTTTCAGAAGGCTCTTGAAAATTCGGCTTCAACGCCGCCGTTTCCGGCGCGGCCGCTCTTTTGCTGTGAACAAATCGAGCTTGAAAAATCGGTACAGCCGGTATTATATCTTGCGTCACACCATGTTAATGTCTTGCCTGAGCCGGAGATGGGTAGGCTTTCGATGCCTCATAGAGTGACTGTGGGGGATTAGGGGAAACATTCTTCTTTAGACGTCGTATTACTTTGTTGTGCCTGGTTGAACATTGGGAAACTATCATTCTGGATGCAGATGGCAGCATCAGATCTGGGTACTGATGCGCCTACCTAGAATTGCGGGGCAACCGGGCATATGTTTCGCGTATAGGACAGACAAAGGTTCACGTCATCTCGAAGCTGTGCAAGCAGGCCTAAACCTAAAGCATCAAGACTCAGCTATATATTCCACTCGCTCAACGTACAACAACAGTACACACCTTACCCAACGGCCGGCAGCCCGGCAGCGCGCACATACACATCGGTGTCGCCCCTATAGCAGTCTACAGCGTATATTGATTGCTTTCGGTAGGTCCTGACATGTTATTCTAGCAGCACACTCCTCCACTACACACCATGAGTCCCATGTGCGCGCAGAAACATACTGCACAGAACATACGACCAGAAGCCCTCTGCAAGCCTGCACAGCTCGGGCTCCAGTCTGCAAGCTAGCGAGCTAGCGAGAACCACCTCTAACCCGTCAAAGAACCGCGTGCGCGCGCGCGTACAAAGCACGGCATGCTTTCCGAACCTTCCGGAAATCCTACCCCCGAACCCCCTAAAGATCCTTTCGCACGATTGATAATCCGACCTCCGAAAATATCCCCATTAGAGCGTCAGCGCCAAAAACACGTACTTACAAGATAAAAGGCGAGGGCTTCCGGTAGATTTGTTTTTGTCTAGGACGAAACACTTGCAGTGCTCTGGTGGGCTGCACACTGGGTGCGTGGGCATCCATAGTACGGGAAGCACGCGGTGCGGGCGGGCAGCCTAAATCGCGAAAACTGCAGGCAACCGACGGGCTTCGGTTTTGATCGAGACAGACCATGGGCCAAGAACGAAATGGCCGGTTTGACGTAACGTCATCAGGACGCTGGTGTAATAGCTCGCTAGGTAGCGGGTCTTGGGTGTGGAGGTGTCAAGATGGGTGAGCTCTACGTGCGAGTGACGGATGCCATTGAGATCTGCATGTGGGCGAAAAACCAAATTTGCAGCTCGTTGTTCACCTTTTGCAATTAATTTTCGTGCGAGATGCGGACGTCAGCCCAGAAACATACAAAAATAACTAAAAATGGTATGCATGCCAGCGGGCATATGATCAAGACAAAGACACAGGCAAGAGCTGTATGTAATATCCTCAGGACGCTAGTGAGGTAGCAAGCTCTCCAAACGTTGAGAGTTTTGGGAGTTTAGGCGTAGAGATGGGTATGCTCTAGGTGCGAACACCGGCACGCCCATTTCGACCGGCCACAAATGAGTTCACCCGCCGCGATTACGTCCAAGTTCTGTTGGCAAAAGGACAATCGTCGCCGTTCGTGTAGCCTAACCCACCAATCTTTGTCATCTCATGTGGGAGATGGGTCTCAGAGACATGCGCATCGGGCTCCGTGATTGCACTCGACAGCAAAGATACAGATACGTATGCTATGTGCCAGGCGCAACGGATTCGACGCCGTTGTTGTGTCCGTGTGTGTGACCCACGGGGCATGCAGCAGAATGGGACACAGCAGTGTGGGGAACAGCAGTGACGGACACACAGCACCGCGCAAGCACCCAGCAGCGACCTAGTGGACAGTGCGTGTATGCTACGCCAGGCGCTGCGTGCCCCCTCCAGAGAGGGGTGCTGCCACAGCAGTGTAGCACAAAGCAGTATATAAATTGATTGCCATCACATTTTATTCGATCTCAGTATGGAAACTTCGGCCCATACATATTTGATATAAGAATGGAAACTGATCGCACATTGCATTGAATGTCATCATGGAAACTGACCACATTTTCATGAGATTCAATTCAAGTATTCAAATTCGGACAAGATTCATCGCTTTTCCGAAAAGCGCAGACCGAAATCCCAATGTGCAATTGGGGAATCAGCCTAGATGTTGTGCGTATCAGCGTGTATCCTTTACCGTGCGTACAGCAGCGGTATGTTGATGCCTGCACTGCTGCCGTTGCACGTGGCTCAGAAAAAACAGTCAAGGCCTCTGATGTGTACATTACTTGAATAGGCCATAATGACCAGCGGCCTGCTGTTTGCATGTGTTATCCGCATCGGGCATCGGATCACGCCAACGATGTACGCGATAGGCAGCCGCAGCTCACGACCGCGAGAACCAGCGCGACAGAGAGAACCGGACGGGGGTGGGCAGCCCCATCACCGGGATCCCTCAACAGACAGTACACTGCAACACCTCACGAGACTGGTTTTCGGGAGTTCGCGGTACTGTTTCCGTCCCTTGTTCAAGAATCCCCCCCTTCTCGGTGTTTGCCATCGGGGCCACGTCGTAAAAAGAATTGTTGAGCACCCTCAAGGCAGTTACACAATGCATTTAAGTGTCTCTGGAAGTGAAAGTACCAGAAAATGAATTGAGTCATACGCAGCTATCATCCGTACGCAAGGAAGTAAGCACAAGATGCCGAACGCCCATAGCAGGATGCAGCGCACCCTTCGTGCCACTCGCCGAATACCTCAAGGCGCTTCGCGCTTTGTGATGTGAGAGCCTGGTCCGGTGAGAACCCGGCGTGCTCCGTCCCGGCCTTGTGACATGGGAGGTCAATGGTCTAACGACTACGGCATGCACGACTATGAGTACACCCCCACCACCACCTGGCTCTCACGCTTGGTGAGGCATATGCTGTAGCTACCGAGAACCCAAGACCCGCAGCAGCACAGCTTGCACAAAGTCGGAACGTTGGACCGAACATAAAACGATTGTATGAACGTATAACAATTAGTGACGACCAAATAGTTACGCACATGCACGTTATGTGTGTGGTGTGTTTTGCGTGATAGTTTGGCTGTGTCAGCTTACGTGTATCCATCTTTCCTCGTTTGAAAAATTACACACGCAAACAAGTGATCCTGTGT